GATTAAACATTGTCAAATATCTTGTAAAATCAATTTACAAAGTTTGTAAAAGGACATTTTGTCTAAATTGAATGATTTACAGTAAATTTACAGACGCTGTAAAATGAACAACTTTTCAAGTGTAGTAGAGAAAGTCGTTGTCTTGGAGACGTCTTTGCACTATAACCATTCAAGATCATGTGCTTTTTTCCCTGGAAGACCTGTGTTCTAGCAATTGAGGTGCTGCTCCTGGTAGATGAGGTGGCGGGAAAGTGTGTTTAATCCATGCACAGAATAGTAACATGTCCCCGCCAAATAAGTTGCTTGCGTTTACATGATGTCTTAGAATTCACTTACATGCCATTAAAATGGGAGGGAAATGTGGTATTCTTAAAAACTAAACAAAAAACAAAAATCAAAACACCTACCGCCCGCCTTATCGCACAGTCCACAAGTACTTGCACAAGAAAGCTTTTCCTCATCGTCGGAACAAATTTCAGCCTTGTTTTGCTCACAATATGAAGTAAAGTATTCATCTTTGCATTCGCCTTTAATTGTACAAAAAAGTAAACATCGTCAAGGACAATGGCATGAATGGAAATTTAAATAATTGGCGATACTGAGAGGGTATGTTTTATGTGCATGCTTTGGATTATGCGTGATTGGTTTATGCACAGTCCACAAGTATTTGCACAAGAAAGTTTCTCTTCGTCGTTGGAATAAATTTCAGCATTGTTTTGTTCACAATATGAAGAAAAGTATTCATTTTACAGACACCTTCTATTGTACAAAGTTAAGCATCATCAAAGACAATGGCATGAATTGAAAGTAAAAAAAGATGTAGTTATGAGTAATGCACGTATACGTCAGACAAAAAGGTTTTTTTTAGAGCGCTGTTAGAACTATATCTCTCCATACAGTAGTTTCCTTCCTTTCTAGGAGACGATGTCTTCCGAGTGGCTCATAATATGTAGTTGGTTGTGAGTCAAGTATGTTTGGTYGGCTGTCTATGGTTGGTATGTACCATTAGTAATGTGCTTGAGAAAATAATGGTTTTTGGGAGGGCTGTCATCGTGGGAGACTGAGTATCATCCACAAGATCATACCAGTGCGACTACTGTGACAAAAATCTTGAAGACAATTTCAGTTTAGTGACCATTTTTACCTTCTTCTCCTTCTCCTTTTTCTTCTTCAGGAGCGCTACATCCTTTGAATCCAATACGCATCGAAATCCATTTGTACCAAGTCCTTGGTCGTATCCGAATAGCAACGGCATTTATCGATGGGGAAAGCAGTTGAGTTACAACGCCATGGCCATTGGTGTTACCCTTGAAGACCTTTGATAAAAAGAAGATGTGCATAGTTTAGTTCATTCAATTAATGTAGGCATAAATCGTTTGCCTGAATCGATCCCAATAACTTTGTGGGATTTAATAGACTCATTTATATTTTATATTTTATTTTTACCATAAAGTTTATAACGAMAAGACTCGACGTTTCTGTGGCATCWGTCACCATTTTCAAGAGTAAAGTAATTCTATATAATTATACAAATGTACCTTGACAGTCCCGTTTTCTTCGTATGGTTTGAAATCAAAGCCATCTTCRCTGTACTCAATAGTGTARGTCTTCACCCACTGWMGATATCTTCGTTTAAACGAACGACCCTGAGTCATCACTGCTGTTACTTCCATCGTTCCATTAAAGTTCACTTGAATCCACTGGTTTTTRTTTTTCTTGCGRGACGACCAAGATCCTCGTCCAAGAACTTGGTTCAGTAACCCATACTCGGGACGAAGTTCGTCTTTAAAAGACGAAGAGGCCTCCAGCATATAGCCCTTTAGGTCAATTGGATCTGCACAACTTTTCGGTGAAGTTGTTGGTGCTGGTGCTGTTGTTGTTGTTGTTGTTGGTAGCGGTGGTGGCTGTGTTGTTGTTGGTGCTGATGTTGTTGGTGGTGGTGCTGAAGTCATAACTTTGGATAAAAAAATATCAGGATTAGTAAGGAAAAAGTTCATGTGCACGGTACTGATGTAAACATAAACGAATCTCATGTCCCTATTATTTGACAAAGAACTTAGAAAATTTTCAAAGAAGTTGTACGATGGACTTTAATCTGACTTTGTCAGTCACTAGCATCCCTCTGTCGTGGAAATATCATCTATCTAGACAATGGAACCTTCATTCATGTCAGTTCTAAGTCTTTCAACAATGGGATACAGAAGAGTAGTGAATCCAGATGGTTGCTCATGTTGTCTAGTCGCTATTTTGCTTACTGTGTTTTCTGTTTTTACCTTTTTTATAAATGCAGTTTTTGCTCTCCATCACCCTTAGTTCGGGCAGGGCACAAATAAATAAGTAGCCCTTCTCTTCATGCATTTTCTTTTACCGATTGGTCCTTTATTTCCGTCTGTATTCATTGGTATATCTCATGTATTTTCCTACCTTTATTCTCACTTAGACTTTAGTTACTTTACCTTTGCACCCTTTGAAACCAACACGCATTGCTATCATCCCACGCCATTTCTTTGGTTTTATGCGGATAGCAACGACTCTTAACGGTGGGGACAGCTTTTGAGTTACAACTGAACGACCATCTGTGTTTCCCTTGAAGACCTTTGATAAAAAAATAGCAGGTCTACCACAAGTAACGTTTGCATAGAGTGACAAGAAAATAAGTATAAATTAGAAGGTTTTACAGGCACGTACTGGGGAAAGCGCAGGAAGAGCCGAAGGAGTCTGTTCTTTAAGATATCTGTTCTGTACGAAGTTTTATCTGGGTAAGGGATTTTGAGCTACATTGTTGACAATCTCACAAGCAAATGTGGTTCCATTCCTTCTTTAAAATAATTTTGTTCCTGCCAAACGTTTTTAAGGTCAAAAGGCTTGATAACGTTTTTATGGTCAAAAACTGCTTATATTTTAATCGTTAAGAAAATTTTATTTTCCTTGCAAAAATTCTTAGAAAATATTCCTTGCTCTGAATTTCTCGCTGGCAACCAGTTGTGACTTACACCTGGCTGGGACCATAAGAACAGACATATTTCTCCCAGGAACCTATCAGCTCCTCCAACTAGTTAGTGAGAGTCGTCGTCTCAGGGCGTTTTCCATTTGTCAGAACTACCTGGTCAGACCCAGAGAAATGTCATTATATATCATTCCTATTTAGTCGGGAAATTCAAAATTTCAAATTCTATCCATTATTCTATAGAGAACCTCGAAATGACTGAAAAATGTTGACAAAAAGCATATACCTCTAAATAGAGCGGAGTGGTCGACCAGTTCTACCTAAATGGAAAGCACCCTCAGTGTCTTCCTATAGCAAGCATGTCTACTTATTACGATGCAGCAAGAATCTACCTTGACATTCCCGTCTTCTTTGTATGGCGTGAAATGAATGCCGTTTTCACTGTACTCGATGGTATAACTCATAACCCACTCACCAAGTCTTTTAGACGAAGGGAGACCCTGGGTCAGAATGGCTGCTATTTCGGTCATTCCATTAAAGCTCACTTGAATCCATTGGTTTTGGTCATGTGTTTTAGGCGACCAAACATCATAATAGTCATAATCTGAAATCCTCCCCTTTGCGGCACTACGCATGTCACTATATGACGAAGATGCAGACATCATGAATTCTTCCACTTGTATTTCCTCTCCAAGTTCACAACTTCTTGGTAATGTTGTTGGAGCAGCTGAAGTTGGTGTTGGTGTTGAAGCATCACCTAAAGAAAAGAAGATATCGTAAAGAACTTGAAAAAAAATCTTGTTTGTTATATATTAAGTCATATAAGACGGTGCTTATACAAAGTAGATTTTTTTTCTAATTATCATGTCTCACGGCCTTTCKTTCTCAGAGCTGTAACTTTCGTTAATTTTTTAAAGGTGACTTGAAGCCATTGGTCCTGTAGTCCCCATGACTTCCAAGATTCATTTCCAGTAATAATACCCTTCAATGGAGGAAGGTTATATTGGCTGGAAGAAGCAGCCATATTCCTGGCAGTTAGCTTAATTGGATGTCCACAGTCTGAAGACTGGCCCTCGGAGGAAAATGTAATTACTTGTATACATATTTTTTACCGATAGGAGTTCGCATTTTAACTCGGCTTGGGGATATAAAACAAAGAATTTTGTTCTCTAGGTAAGTATAGAATCCATTGTTTTGCCCTCAGAAGGAATTGCATTCCCTACCTTTAGGTGTTGTTGCTTCTGTTGTTGCTGCTTCAGGCGTTGTTGCTTCTGTTGTTGCTTCTGTAGGTGCTGGTGTTTCAGCTAAAGAAAAAGACATACCGTATAATATGATTGTACAATGTACACTGGCAATTGTTCATTATAGCTACAGTAGTATATATACCTGGTTCTATTGCATCGCAGCCATCGATCCCCACCCGCATACAAATATAAATGTGCCATGTCTGCGGTCTAAAGCGAATAGCAAGGGCCCAGATTGGCGTGGACAGTTTATGACGAACTTCAGTATCCCGATCAGTATTGCCTTGGAAAATCTAAGCAAATTAAACGATACAAATTGAGCCAATAACTAACTAATTTTTGGCTCTACAAAGATCAATTCACTTGCGAACACAATCACACAATAAATGACAACGTTTTGCACTTGTTCATGACTTCATTATGCCTGACTATACTCCATATCAAAGAATTGTATGTCATTCGTGCGGGTTCMCTGTGCTTTTTAGGTTTGGGCTTCCTTTGGCGAATCCATGCCATATATGGAAACAAACAAAATGGCCGGATGTTGAGAAGTGTTTTCGCTACAATATCTGCAAGTTTCAGACGATTTCTTGCTTTAAAAGACGAGAAAATCGGCAAAAACCATTTCTATCGTACTTCCAAATAAGGTAAGATTACCATATATGGCTGCTAAACGAAGGACAACTATTTTTGTGGGGCAATTATCTTTGATATGCATCTTCATATCTACTTGGCACAGGGTAACATACATTTAATAAGATGTTGTAGATTCTTCATTTATATTGAAAATGAGGTGACTTCAAATACGCAATCTAAACCACTTCACATGTTACTTTATCAATTACTCAAGAATTTACTCTATATAAAAATCTCTTTTTTTGTGAAGTCTATTATGGCACCACTGAAAAGCCAATAGTCTCCTTCACGGTTCGATGCGCCATCTTGAAGGGGCCGTGCCTTTGCATTGAAGCGAGAAAACCGTTGAGCGTGCAATGATAGATACCTGTGAATAATTGTCTGYAGGTGTGAAAGAAGGTTTCTATCATTGTACGCTCAACGGTTTTCTCGTTTCGATGAAAAGGCGCGGCTACCTTTCCAGATGGCGCAGGGAATCGTGAAGAGGACTATACGCATGTTAGCCTGTGAGTTATACATTCTGTCAAGACATCAAAACCGCGCGCGTAATCCCACTGCAAACGTTCATGCACAGTATCACATTTTTGCATGAATTGTGCTTGAGACTCGAGAATATTTTCTGTGAGCATACACTCGCTTCTAGATATATAATTCGATTATGACCATCAGCCGTTTGTATTGTATTGAAACTTTGYATGCGTGAAGTGAAAAATCTTTGTTTAAGAAATATAAAACGGCGCGCGTCTCTGTTCTCTGATATAAACACGGTGGGAGTTCGAAAAACACGAGAGAAGCAAGCTTAGGAACACGAGCGTAGCGAGTGTTTCTCTTGCTTCTCGAGTGTTTTTCAACTCCCACCGTGTTCATATCAGAGGACAGAGACACAAGCGGCCGTTTTATATTTCTTTTATAAATTTTCCGAGCGAAAATAAAATGTTGTCGGTAAGAAGAAGTCGTGTCTCTTTCCTCTGATATAAACACGGTTGTCAGCCAATCAGAGCGCGCGTTATATATCAAAAACTTTATAAATTAAGTTTTGAATTGATTAGAGTCTAATAAAAATCATTTTGAAATCATTTTGAGAACAATGCAGATCGTATACACCCTTTTAATAAGTCCCAAGGTATTGTTTTCTCCGCACTTGACGTCAAATTTATTCTTTTGAAATTTTTACAATACAAAAGGAATTAAAAAGAATAAATTTGACGTCAAGTGCGGAGAACGGGACTTATTAAAAGGGTGTATAGAAAGGCGAGTAGTCAAAGGATGCTTCAGACGACAGAAAAAAGTGGAAATATGTTGAGGTCATGTGTGCCATGAATCACCAAATGAAGAAATTAGTTAACAGATCCAGAATCCCTATGCACTGCATACTATATAGTTTCTCAGTATATGTTAACGTTTCTAGTCATTGTAATAGCATGTAATACGTACCTTGATCTGTCCGTTCTCCTTGTATGGKATGAAATCCTTTCCATTCTTACTGTATTCTAAGAAGTAGCTTTYAACCCATTGATTSACTTTGGAGCGGCCTTTGGTTCGCACTCCTGTGACTTTCATTACCTTATCAAACGTAACTTGYAGCCACTGATCTTTATTTCTTCGGTAAGTGTTTACTGCCCATGAGCCTGAACCAATATCTAAACCTCCAATGATACCGTTTGCTGGCTGTAAACCACGGTTAAAGTGCGATGAGGAAGCAGACATCATCCGGGCAGGTATCTTTATACGTTCCCCGTCTTCACAGTCTGATTTGGGCTCTGAAAGATTATAAAAAATGCACTGTGCTTTATCAGGATTGCTTTAATTTTTTTTTTTTGGTATATTGACATATTTATTTCAATCTCTCAAGATATATTTGTATTTCTATTTACAACTTAGGGAAAGACACGCATTAGGYTGTGTCTCTCGAGATGATATATTTTCTTATATATTATTAAAAAAAGGATTGCTTGAATTATTTCTTCAGGATGGTTTGATCTTTAAACTAAATAGTTAAAGAATCACTTGCACCCGACAGAGAAACTTTGCGTTCGTTTTATTTTTTCAGAAAATCTTGTTGCTGAAAGCGTTAAGCAYTAATTATGTTAAGTGTTATGATTGTTTTACATTCAAAGATTACGATTTTTCGTATGAGGAGAAAATCGCGCAGATTCCTTTTCTTAATAAAGTGCGCTATCTTGAAGGAAATGTTAATTCTTCAA